TATCACCTTAGGTGAACATACAGGATTTGTTTTTTTTGTACCAATCTACAAGTAATAGACAAGTAAGTTTTATCGATAACAAGAAATTTAAGTAAGAGTGGTAAATAGTTCCTATGGAGCCCAAACCAGCAGAAAAGTTAATAGACATGTTAGCAAGTAGTACCGGAACTAGGTCCAAAATACGAAAAGCTACGAAATCAGCACAAGTAACCGAGTTAGAAGCGGTACCTGACAAAACTGCACAAGCACGTAGTAGTGAGCAGGCTCAGTTAGTTAGTTCAGGTACAAATAGAAGGCCAAAAGTATGGAAAATAACCCAAGCTGAAAAAGATTTTGGAAACAATAGTATCCAAAGATCATTGAGTTTTGACAGCAAAATAGACCACTTGTTGTTATTGGAAAGTAGTGAAATGAATCAGCCAGCTAATGTGAAAGGTAAAGGGGAAGATCAACATCGAGAAACCTCAACAGGTACAGATACAGGACGCAAGTCGGATAATGAAGAAATAATGAATTCAGTAGCTGTAATGATGAGGCAGCAACAAGAGTTTTTATCGAACTGCATGCAAGAGATGAAAATGGAAGTCATGACTATAAACAACCGTCTACGAGAAGTGGAGCAAAGACCTAATCAGACCCCGCAAAACTACTTACGTAACCAGGAGATCCAGCGGGAGCGGCACTCAGCATTTCCAATAGAAAGAGGGATGAGAAGAAGTGTGGATCTAGAACGGTGGCATTTGAAGTTCGACGGTTCGAATAAGGAAATGACAGTAGAAAGCTTTTTGTTCAGAGTCGAGAGAATGAAACAACAACACTCAGTTACAGATCAACAACTTCTCACGGACTTCCATTGTCTGTTGACTGGTGGAGCACTAAAATGGTATTGGCAACAACTAGAGTACCATGAAGATAACCGATGCTTCGATTATAGGCAATTCAAAAAGGAGCTATTGGCACAATTCAAATCTGCCGAAAGTGACTACGACATCATAAGGGAAATCATGGATCGGAAGCAACAACCCAGCGAAAACTTCGAGCAGTATTACGCCGAGATACATAGCCTGACGTTCAAACTGAGAAAGAAAATTCCTGAAGTGGAGTTGGCAACAATTATAAAAAATAACGTTAAGCCAGGAATAGCTAGTCTACTATTCGCAGCGACATTTCTATCACTAGCAGAATTAAAAAAGGAATGTATTAGGGCCGAGAAAATGCTAAGGGAAAACAAGCTCCGAGGTAGGCAGGTTCAGTTATCCACAGAACAGACAAGGCGAAAATCAACAGCGTGGGCATTTACAACAGAGAAATAAGGGGCAAAACACGTTTGGAGGTAGAATTGAAACCCGTCACCACGAGACAACAATCACGAGCAACCATGATGCAGGTACAATGTGTCCATCTCCATTCCACTTAAATTTATGTTATTCTTGTGGAATGCCATGTGATTTTTACATCATAAATGATAATATGAAACAAGGGTCAAGGTGTAGGTTATCTTTCCATGACATGTCGTGCTTTTTATGTAAAGAAAGCTATTCCTATTGCAGATATAACAAGAGAGAGGGAAACGGCTGGAGGACAGTGGCAACCGGGGCCCAGTGTCGCCAGAGGCAAGACCCGGAACGACGGTATAAATCATAAAGCGAAACCAATCCTTGTTAGCAAATCTAGTGGCAAAGATCAATAAACCTAAACCAAAATCTTTACACCAACGGAAGATAGAGTATGATATAATAAAGAAAAAAATTTTTAATGAAGAATTAATGAAATCGAGAAACAATAAGAGAAACTTCAGGAAAATACAAATTTTGCGAAGAAGACAGCAATTAGTAAAGGCATGTTTGAGGAAGGTCATAGGCACGATAGTGACACTGGAAGGAGATAATAGGATGTACGTTAGGACCAAAATCAATGACGAAGAGGTAGTAGCGCTATTGGATTCAGGAGCAATGGCAAACTGCATAGGACAAGGAGCCTTAGACTTTTTAAAGAAGAAACCTAGTAAGATAATAAGGGTAAAAGGTAAATCTATTAAAACAGCCAACGGCGGCGAAACCCCGATAGTAGGTGTAGTAACTTTACCAGTCCTTTGGGAGGAAGAAACAAAAGACATGGAATTTTTAGTAGTCCCTTCATTGCAGCAGCAATTCTACTTAGGTATCGATTTTTGGAAAGTGTTCGACATACCAATAATCAGCAAGCGGACACCCAAATTTTACCTTGGGGTGGCAGTGTCTGAATTGACTCCGCAGTCATCAGACTTACTAGTCACGTCAAAACAGCACGAAATGTGTAGGAGGCAAATAAGCATGCTAGAGAAGGTTGTTAAAGAATTTCCATCGTTTAGTGAGTTAGGTCTAGGAAGCACAACAGTAGAAAGTCATACGATAGAGGTAATGGATGAACATATACCTGTGAAACAGCGGCAGTATCCGATTTCTCCGTTTGTCCAGAAATTAATGTACGACGAATTAGACAGAATGCTGAGCTTAGGGGTGATTTAAGAAAGCAATAGCAGTTGGAACTCTCCGGTAACACTGGTAAGGAAAGAAACCAAAAACAGGCTGTGCTTGGATGCCCGGAAAGTCAATGAGCGCACAATCAAGGACGCATATCCGTTGCCTCATATTGAAAGAATCTTGAGCAGATTACAAGACACCAGGTACATTTCTGCAATCGATTTAAAAGATGCGTTCTGGCAGATTCCGCTGGAAAAAAGATCCAGAGAAAAGACAGCATTTACAGTCCCGGGAAGACCCCTATATCAATTCACTGTGATGCCATTCGGGTTATGTAATGCAGCGCAACGCATGTGCAGACTCATGGACAAGATCATTCCAGCAGCGCTTCGAGAACGGGTGTTCTACTGGTGTGCTCAGAAGACTTTGAAGGACACATGCGTCTATTATAGCAAGTGGCTGGGTGTCTGAGCAAAGCTAACCTGACAATTAATGTTCAAAAGAGTAAGTTTTGTCATACTGAAGTTAGATATCTAGGGTACATCGTAGGGAATGGGACAATACGAACTGATCCGGCAAAAGTAGAAGCGATGAATATTTTCCCTGAGCCAAAGCGAGGCAACTTAGACGCTTTCTTGGAATGACAGGATGGTATAGAAGATTCATAAGAGATTACGCCACTATTGCAGCACCACTACACGATTGCCTGACTAAAAATAACCTAATTAAATTCGCTCTAACCAACGAAGCAAGAATAGCGTTTGAGAGATTGAAAGAAAGTCTTACGACAGCACCAGTACTTACGAATCCGAACTTCCAAAAACGTTTTTATATCCAATGTGACGCTTCTAAAGATGGAGTGGGAGGAGTGTTATTCCAAGTGAATGAGGCTGAAGATGAGCAACCGATAGCATATATGTCGTCTAAACTAAACAAAGCTCAAAAGAATTATAGTGTGACAGAACAAGAGTGTCTTGCAGCTGTACTTAGTGTAAAGAAGTTTAGAGCGTATATAGAGGGCCTGCCATTC